GTTGATGGACTGTGTTCCCTCCACACGTCTGATCACTGTAGTTTTCTATCACTGGCTAAACCTGCATCTGTGTGTGAGGTCTTCTCCATCCCGGTCTTATCTAAAGAGCTGTCCTGTCCTGCTGGTGGCTTTACCTGCAGCCTGTCTGGTCCTAAATGAGGAGCATTAATGTTTATAAACACAAGAACAAGATTTCTAACTTCAGCCCTAGTAGTAATATCCCTGGCTCTAATCGTTTATTAATAGGAATGCACCGAATCCAGGATTCGGTTTCGGATTCAGCCGAATATTGGGCTTTTTAACAGGGTTCGGTTTCTGCCGAACCGTAGAATTTTTTTCCACCGAACCCAAGGCTTGCACTACGCGCGCTACCGTTGATTACGGGAAGGGGTTTACCTCAGGCTTGTTCAACTTGAACCGGCGCTGCACAGACCGATTGGTGAATGACATCAGAGTATATCATCAGTGTGACATCAGAGCGAATAGAGAGCAGACGGCTCCTTATGCTTTTGAAATGCTCTCGCGGTACTTTGATGTCGGATCGGTCTGTGCAGCGCCGGTTCAAGTCAAATAAGCCTGTAGTGTTACGCGTTGTGTCAGGAAGAAAACAGACTCACGGAGGCGACTGGCATCTCACAACTCGCACTTTATTCCCCAATCGAACTCGTGTAACTGTCAGTCACACGTTCTACCGTCCACAGCGTTACTTAACAAAATAAGATAAAAATGAGCATCAAACAGAAATAACTCGCATACTTGGGGTGTTCGAGGCGCACGGCACATACACTACAGACAGTTCAACAGGGAGCGCGCAGCTCTTAAAGGGGACACACCTTATTTCCACTCGTTGCAGCAGGTGGACCGTTCGAATGCAGTAGGCTGTGAGAAAGTGAAAATGGAACTTTTGAGCAGAAAAAGTGTTGTTTAGCAGTACTTTCAGTCAAAAGAAGGCCATTCAAGACAAGTCGAGCTACATGTTCAATTTGCAATGCCAATTTGTCTCATGGTGGCAAGGACTCTAAACAATACACATCATCGCCGCTGTTAAAATGCATGCTTATTCTTTTTTTTACAGTTAAAATAAAATAAAATGAAAAATCCACATTGTTTACTTCATTAATGTGTTTACTGTGTTAATGGACTGAGGATGAGAGTAGGATTCGGTGTTCGGTTTCGGCAGAATCTTAACCAGTGGATTCGGTGCATTCCTATTTATTAATTAAACTTTCGCTTTAAAACCAAAGGGAAAAAAGCACAGCCATAAGACCATGGCTTCATCTCTTCTTCACAGAGCTGTGGAGGAATGAAGAAGAGATGGAGGGATGGAGGAACGAAGAAGAGATGGAGGGATGAAGGAGGAATGAAGAAGAGATGGAGGGATGGAGGAACGAAGAAGAGATGGAGGGATGGAGGAATGAAGAAGAGATGGAGGGATGGAGGAACGAAGAAGAGATGGAGGGATGGAGGAATGAAGAAGAGATGGAGGGATGAAGGAGGAATGAAGAAGAGATGGAGGGATGAAGGGATGAAGAAGAGATGGAGGGATGAAGGAGGAATGAAGAAGAGATGGAGGGATGGAGGAACGAAGAAGAGATGGAGGGATGAAGGAATGAAGAAGAGATGGAGGGATGAAGGAGGAATGAAGAAGAGATGGAGGGATGGAGGAACGAAGAAGAGATGGAGGGATGGAGGAATGAAGAAGAGATGGAGGGATGAAGGAGGAATGAAGAAGAGATGGAGGGATGAAGGGATGAAGAAGAGATGGAGGGATGAAGGGATGGAGGAGGGATGATAGAGGGATGATGGAGATGGAGGAGGGATGATAGAGGGATGATGGAGATGGAGGAGGGATGGAGGGATGATGGAGAGATGAAGGGATGAAGAAGAGATGGAGGGATGAAGGGATGGAGGAGGGATGATAGAGGGATGATGGAGATGGAGGAGGGATGGAGGGATGATGGAGAGATGGAGGAATGAAGAAGAGATGGAGGGATGAAGGAGGAATGAAGAAGAGATGGAGGGATGGAGGAATGAAGAAGAGATGGAGGGATGAAGTGATGGAGGAGGGATGATAGAGGGATGATGGAGATGGAGGAGGGATGGAGGGATGATGGAGAGATGGAGGAATGAAGGAGGAATGAAGAAGAGATGGAGGGATGGAGGAATGAAGAAGAGATGGAGGGATGAAGTGATGGAGGAGGGATGATAGAGGGATGATGGAGATGGAGGAGGGATGGAGGGATGATGGAGAGATGGAGGAATGAAGGAGAGATGGAGTGATGAAGGAGAGATGAGGGATGAAGGAGGGATGGAGGGGTGAAGGAGGGATGATGGAGAGATGGAGGAATGAAGAAGAGATGGAGGGATGAAGGAGGAATGAAGAAGAGATGGAGGGATGGAGGAATGAAGAAGAGATGGAGGGATGAAGTGATGGAGGAGGGATGATAGAGGGATGATGGAGATGGAGGAGGGATGATGGAGAGATGGAGGAATGAAGGAGGAATGAAGAAGAGATGGAGGGATGGAGGAATGAAGAAGAGATGGAGGGATGAAGTGATGGAGGAGGGATGATAGAGGGATGATGGAGATGGAGGAGGGATGGAGGGATGATGGAGAGATGGAGGAATGAAGGAGAGATGGAGTGATGAAGGAGAGATGAGGGATGAAGGAGGGATGGAGGGGTGAAGGAGGGATGAAGGAGAGATGGAAGGATGAAGGAGGGATGATGGAGAGATGGAGGAGGGATGAAGGTGGGATGATGGAGGGATGATGGAGAGATAGAGGAGGGATGATGGAGAGATGAGGGATGAAGGAGAGATGGAGTGATGAAGGAGAGATGAGGGATGAAGGAGGGATGATGGAGAGATGGAGGGATGAAGGAGAGATGAGGGATGAAGGAGGGATGATGGAGAGATGAAGGAGAGATGGAGGGATGAAGGAGGGATGATGGAGGGATGAAGGAGGGATGGAGGAAGGATGATGGAGAGATGGAGGGATGAAGGAGAGATGGAGGGATGAAGGAGAGATGGAGGGATGAAGGAGAGATGGAGAGATGGAGGGATGAAGGAGAGATGGAGGGAAGAAGGAGGGATGATGGAGAGAAGGAGGGATGATGGAGAGATGGAGGGATATAGGAGAGATGGAGGGATGATGGAGGGATGATGGATGGATGATGGAGAGATGGAGGGAAGAAGGAGAGATGATGGAGAGAAGGAGGGATGATGGAGAGATGGAGGGATGATGGAGGGATGATGGAGAGATGGAGGGATGATGGAGGGATGAAGGAGAGATGGAGGGAAGAAGGAGGAATGATGGAGAGAAGGAGGGATGATGGAGAGAAGGAGGGATGATGGAGAGAAGGAGGGATGAAGGAGGGATGAAGGAGAGAAGGAGGGAAGAAGGAGAGATGATGGAGAGAAGGAGGGATGATGGAGAGATGGAGGGATGAAGGAGAGATGGAGGGATGATGGAGGGATGAAGGAGAGATGGAGGGAAGAAGGAGGAATGATGGAGAGAAGGAGGGATGATGGAGAGAAGGAGGGATGATGGAGAGAAGGAGGGATGAAGGAGGGATGAAGGAGAGAAGGAGGGAAGAAGGAGAGATGATGGAGAGAAGGAGGGATGATGGAGAGATGGAGGGATGAAGGAGAGATGGAGGGATGATGGAGGGATGAAGAGAGATGGAGGGATGTGGGAGGGATGATGGAGGATGTGTGGTGGTTGTTGGAGGGATGTTGGTGAGATGTTGGGAGTAGGTGGGTGATGGTGAGAAGGGGTTGTGGAGAGAAGGAGGGATGATGGAGGGATGAAGGAGGGATGAAGGAGAGATGGAGGAAGAAGGAGAGTTGATGGAGGAAGGACGGATGATGGGAGATGGGTGGATGGTGGAGGGATGAAGGAGAGATGGAGGGAAGAAGGAGGATGATGGTGTGAAGGAGGGATGATGGTGAGAAGGGAGTGGATGATGGAGGGATGATGGAGTGATGGTGGAGGATGGTGGAGGGTTGATGGAGGGATGGAGGGTTGATGGAGGGATGGTGGGATGGGTGGAAGGAGAGATGGAGGGATGATGGAGGGATGAAGGAGAGATGGAGGGATGATGGAGGGATGATGGAGAGATGGAGGGAAGAAGGAGAGATGGAGGGATGATGGAGGGATGAAGGAGAGATGGAGGGATGATGGAGGGATGAAGGAGAGATGGAGGGATGATGGAGGGATGAAGGAGAGATGGAGGGATGATGGAGGGAAGAAGGAGAGATGGAGGGATGATGGAGGGATGAAGGAGAGATGGAGGGAAGGAGAGATGGAGGGATGATGGAGGGATGAAGGAGAGATGGAGGGATGATGGAGGGATGAAGGAGAGATGGAGGGAAGAAGGAGAGATGGAGGGATGATGGAGGGATGAAGGAGAGATGGAGGGATGATGGAGGGATGAAGGAGAGATGGAGGGATGATGGAGGGATGAAGGGGAGATGGAGGGATGATGGAGGGATGAAGGAGAGATGGAGGGATGATGGAGGGATGATGGAGAGATGGAGGGAAGAAGGAGGGATGATGGAGAGATGGAGGGAAGAAGGAGGGATGATGGAGAGAAGGAGGGATGATTCTTAGTTCCCCGCCAGTTTAAATCTGTTTCCTGAAACGTGTTCCTCTGTTGAAGAAGCTTCTGTCCGAGTCTCGAAGCGAGTTTCATCCCAGAGTTCAGTGGGTCAGTGCAGAAACCCGTTCTAATGAAAGAAAGCAGGAATAGCACAGACAACCCTTCTGTGGCCAGATAATCACAGGAGTCGACAGCAGAAGAAGAGCTTGACATTTAATGAGAACACACTGCAGAAGTGGAACACATGCAGCATTATGAATTCAACGCACTGCACACAAATTAATTATCTTTCAAATAATAAGAGAAAAGAGCTGTGACACACACTCCTGTAGAGCTCTATCCCGGGATGTGTTGGATCAGGACAGGAGAAACACAACACTCCTGATACACAGAGGCGCGGTCAGGCGGAGTGTGTGTGTGTGTGTGTGTGTGTGTGAGGAGAGGGTCTGAAGCTGGAGCGATCCAGGAGACCGGCGTCAGTCAGAGAATAGTGAAGCGTGGCCCATTCCCGACGCTCCCGTCTCACCGACAGCAGCTCTTCTGCTTCCCTCGGGAGCGCCGACTCCTCCTGATCAGAGGAAACACACACAACACACACTTGCTGGGGTTACGATCACCAGAACACACACTTACTGGGGTTACAATCACTCAAACACACACTTACTGGGGTTACAATCACCAGAACACACACTTGCTGGGGTTACGATCACCAGAACACACACTTACTGGGGTTACAATCACTCAAACACACACTAACTGGGGTTACAATCACCACAACACACACTTACTGGGGTTACGATCACCAGAACACACACTTACTGGGGTTACAATCACCAGAACACACACTTACTGGGGTTACAATCACCAGAACACACACTTACTGGGGTTACAATCACCAGAACACACACTTACTGGGGTTACGATCACCAGAACACACACTTACTGGGGTTACAATCACTCAAACACACACTTACTGGGGTTACAATCACCAGAACACACACTTACTGGGGTTACGATCACCAGAACACACACTTACTGGGGTTACAATCACCAGAACACACACTTACTGGGGTTACAATCACCAGAACACACACTTACTGGGGTTACAATCACCAGAACACACACTTACTGGGGTTACGATCACCAGAACACACACTTACTGGGGTTACAATCACTCAAACACACACTTACTGGGGTTACGATCACCAGAACACACACTTACTGGGGTTACGATCACCAGAACACACACTTACTGGGGTTACAATCACCAGAACACACACTTACTGGGGTTACAATCACCAGAACACACACTTACTGGGGTTACAATCACCAGAACACACACTTACTGGGGTTACAATCACCAGAACACACACTTACTGGGGTTACAATCACCAGAACACACACTTACTGGGGTTACAATCACCAGAACACACACTTACTGGGGTTACAATCACCAGAACACACACTTACTGGGGTTACAATCACTCAAACACACACTTACTGGGGTTACAATCACCACAACACACACTTACTGGCGTTACAATCACTCAAACACACACTTACTGCGGTTACAATCACCACAACACACACTTACTGGCGTTACAATCACTCAAACACACACTTACTGGGGTTACGATCACCAGAACACACACTTACTGGGGTTACAATCACCAGAACACACACTTACTGGGGTTACAATCACCAGAACACACACTTACTGGGGTTACGATCACCAGAACACACACTTACTGGGGTTACAATCACTCAAACACACACTTACTGGGGTTACAATCACCACAACACACACTTACTGGCGTTACAATCACTCAAACACACATTTACTGGGGTTACGATCACCAGAACACACACTTACTGGGGTTACAATCACCAGAACACACACTTACTGGGGTTACAATCACCAGAACACACACTTACTGGGGTTACAATCACCAGAACACACACTTACTGGGGTTACGATCACCAGAACACACACTTACTGGGGTTACAATCACTCAAACACACACTTACTGGGGTTACAATCACCACAACACACACTTACTGGCGTTACAATCACTCAAACACACACTTACTGCGGTTACAATCACCACAACACACACTTACTGGCGTTACAATCACTCAAACACACACTTACTGGGGTTACGATCACCAGAACACACACTTACTGGGGTTACGATCACCAGAACACACACTTACTGGGGTTACAATCACCACAACACACACCTACTGCGGTTACAATCACCAGAACACACACTTACTGGGGTTACAATCACCACAACACACACTTACTGGGGTTACGATCACCAGAACACACACTTACTGGGGTTACAATCACTCAAACACACACTTACTGGGGTTACGATCACCAGAACACACACTTACTGGGGTTACAATCACTCAAACACACACTTACTGGGGTTACGATCACCAGAACACACACTTACTGGGGTTACGATCACCAGAACACACACTTACTGGGGTTACAATCACCAGAACACACACTTACTGGGGTTACAATCACTACAACACACACTTACTGGGGTTACGATCACCAGAACACACACTTACTGGGGTTACAATCACCACAACACACACTTACTGGGGTTACAATCACCAGAACACACACTTACTGGGGTTACGATCACCAGAACACACACTTACTGGGGTTACAATCACCAGAACACACACTTACTGGGGTTACAATCACTCAAACACACACTTACTGGGGTTACGATCACCAGAACACACACTTACTGGGGTTACGATCACCAGAACACACACTTACTGGGGTTACAATCACCACAACACACACTTACTGGGGTTACAATCACTACAACACACACTTACTGGGGTTACAATCACCACAACACACACTTACTGGGGTTACAATCACCACAACACACACTTACTGCGGTTACAATCACTACAACACACACTTACTGGGGTTACAATCACTCAAACACACACTTACTGGGGTTACGATCACCAGAACACACACTTACTGGGGTTACAATCACTACAACACACACTTACTGGGGTTACGATCACCAGAACACACACTTACTGGGGTTACAATCACCAGAACACACACTTACTGGGGTTACAATCACTCAAACACACACTTACTGGGGTTACAATCACTCAAACACACACTTACTGGGGTTACAATCACCAGAACACACACTTACTGGGGTTACAATCACTCAAACACACACTTACTGGGGTTACGATCACCAGAACACACACTTACTGGGGTTACAATCACCAGAACACACACTTACTGCGGTTACAATCACTCAAACACACACTTACTTGGGTTACAATCACTCAAACACACACTTACTGGGGTTACGATCACCAGAACACACACTTACTTAGGTTACAATCACTCAAACACACACTTACTGGGGTTACAATCACTCAAACACACACTTACTGGGGTTACAATCACCACAACACACACTTACTGGGGTTACAATCACTCAAACACACACTTACTGGGGTTACAATCACTCAAACACACACTTACTGGGGTTACGATCACCAGAACACACACTTACTGGGGTTACAATCACTCAAACACACACTTACTGGGGTTACAATCACTCAAACACACACTTACTGGGGTTACAATCACTCAAACACACACTTACTGGGGTTACAATCACTCAAACACACACTTACTGGGGTTACGATCACCAGAACACACACTTACTGGGGTTACAATAACAAGAACACACACTTACTGCGGTTACAATCACTCAAACACACACTTACTTGGGTTACAATCACTCAAACACACACTTACTGGGGTTACGATCACCAGAACACACACTTACTGGGGTTACAATCACCAGAACACACACTTACTGGGGTTACGATCACCAGAACACACACTTACTGGGGTTACAATCACTCAAACACACACTTACTGGGGTTACAATCACCACAACACACACTTACTGGCGTTACAATCACTCAAACACACACTTACTGGGGTTACAATCACTCAAACACACACTTACTGGGGTTACAATCACTCAAACACACACTTACTGGGGTTACGATCACCAGAACACACACTTACTGGGGTTACAATCACCACAACACACACTTACTGGGGTTACAATCACTCAAACACACACTTACTGGGGTTACGATCACCAGAACACACACTTACTGGGGTTACAATCACCAGAACACACACTTACTGGGGTTACAATCACCACAACACACACTTACTGGGGTTACAATCACTCAAACACACACTTACTGCGGTTACAATCACTCAAACACACACTTACTGGGGTTACAATCACTCAAACACACACTTACTGGGGTTACAATCACTCAAACACACACTTACGGGGGTTACAATCACCACAACACACACCTCAGTCGCCGCACACACACCGCAGTCGCCGCACTCACACACCGCAGTCGCCGCACTCACACACCGCAGTCGCCGCACTCACACACCGCAGTCGCCGCACTCACACACCGCAGTCGCCGCACACACACACCGCAGTCGCCGCACACACACACCGCAGTCGCCGCACACACACACCGCAGTCGCCACACACACCGCAGTCGCCGCACACACACCGCAGTCGCCGCACACACACCGCAGTCGCCGCACACACACACCGCAGTCGCCGCAGACACACCGCAGTCGCCACACACACACCGCAGTCGCCGCTCACACACCGCAGTCGCCGCACACACACCGCAGTCGCCGCACACACACCGCAGTCGCCGCTCACACACCGCAGTCGCCGCACACACACCGCAGTCGCCGCAGACACACCGCAGTCGCCGCACACACACCGCAGTCGCCGCACACACACACCGCAGTCGCCGCACACACACCGCAGTCGCCGCACACACACACCGCAGTCGCCACACACACCGCAGTCGCCGCACACACACCGCAGTCGCCGCACACACACCGCAGTCGCCGCACACACACACCGCAGTCGCCGCAGACACACCGCAGTCGCCACACACACACCGCAGTCGCCGCTCACACACCGCAGTCGCCGCACACACACCGCAGTCGCCGCACACACACCGCAGTCGCCGCACACACACCGCAGTCGCCGCACACACACCGCAGTCGCCGCAGACACACCGCAGTCGCCGCACACACACCGCAGTCGCCGCACACACACACCGCAGTCGCCGCACACACACCGCAGTCGCCGCACACACACACCGCAGTCGCCGCACACACACCGCAGTCGCCGCACACACACACCGCAGTCGCCGCACACACACCGCAGTCGCCGCACACACACCGCAGTCGCCGCTCACACACCGCAGTCGCCACACACACACCGCAGTCGCCACACACACACCGCAGTCGCCGCACACACACCGCAGTCGCCGCACACACACACCGCAGTCGCCACACACACCGCAGTCGCCGCACACACACCGCAGTCGCCGCACACACACCGCAGTCGCCGCACACACACACCGCAGTCGCCGCACACACACCGCAGTCGCCGAACACACACACACCGCAGTCGCCGCACACACACACCGCAG